TATCCACCTACTTCAGCAACTTACATAAGTTACTTTATCCACCTACTTCAGCAACTTACATAAGTTACTTTATCCACCTACTTCAGCTACTTACAGAAATGATTTATTCACCTACTTCAGTTAATTACAGAAATGACTTTATCACCTACTTCAGCTACTTACAGAAATGATTTTATCCACCTACTTCAGCTACTTACAGAAATGATTTTATTCACCTATTTCAGCTACTTACAGAAATGATTTTATTCACCTACTTCAGCTACTTACTTAATTTACTTGAGCCACTAGTCCTGTGAAAACTGTCTTGTATTAGAAGTTGGCATATCAAGTAGCTTTTACACAGAGAATTACCATTTTCAGCGACGTGTTATTGTACTTAAAAACAGTGGTGCTGCCTAATTTGAAGTTTAAGAAATTGTGCTTTGATGCTTTTTTACATCACGCTTAGTACCATATATCTGCAAATTATTGTACTTACGGTATTTTGTAGTGGTACATTAACTACCAATTCTCATGAACTTGCTGTGACCTCAAATAATTAAGGTATTTTGTAGTGGTACATTAACTACCAATTCTTATGAACTTGCTGTGGCCTCATGTAATTAAGGTATTTTGTAGTGGTACATTAACTACCAATTCTTATGAACTTGCTGTGGCTTCAAGTAATTAAGGTATTTTGTAGTGGTACATTAACTACCAATTCTTATTAATTTGTTGTAGCTTTGAGTATTTAAGGTATTATCATTTCTTATCATTTTGATTGCATGTCTTATGTTGACTTCGTTGGAACCATCTTGGTTCGGTCAATGAACGATTACGTGTGCTAAGTTAATAAGTACCATGTGTATGGATGGCTCAAATTTGTGTCATAAAGAAAAGTATAATAGACCTAAAGTGTGCATTGTAAATATAAAAAGTGAGAACTTCACCATAACAATAAAGGTTAAATACATGTTTAAAGCTATGACATCTTGTCACCAAAGTAATATTTTGATTTTGGCGCCAAGCTTCATCTGAGGATTATAGTCCTTTGTATATAAAATTATTAAGTTATTAGTAAACATCGTTTCCTATGTGTTACATATGCTCAGGCAATCACTTACAATGCATTAAGTTTGTCTTCTTTTACCTCTGTAATTATGTCTTCCAAACATGTTCCTTTCACAAATCCTTAGCTTCAACATTATCGTTTAGAAACGTTGGAAAGTCATGTTCTTTGTTGTTGTTTTTTGATTATTTTTTAAAGCTATTAATCGAAATACATAATATTGTATTAGTGGACAGGGATTATTTATACTTTCAATACTTTTATTAAATTTAGAATGATATAACCACTGTATAACTTTAAAATATTGATGTAGAAAACTTAAAAGTAATTAATCAAAATAAATAAACTTATTATTATGATTCGGATGGTACAGAAACTAAATGTACAAAATAATTGGTTTTAAAATACCGAAAGCCCACGAATAAATTAAATTAATAGGATATTAATGAGAAACAGCACACTAGACTATAGATGTTTCATTTTTACCTTCTTCTTTATCACTTCACTGCTGATTTCTAATCAAAGGCGTATAAATTTAGCAAGTGAACCATAGTCATGTCTGCTAGATCTCGCTCAGAACTCGTCAGCTGGTAGTCTCGTGTAATCTTTTATCTCTAGTATTAAGTCGATTGGTGTTACTGTTTCGCTGAGATTTGGTGTCAAAAATCTTATCAGTGGTACGATTACACTGGGCTGTTATGTTCCGAAAACTGAACAATTTCAAAATCTTATTGATTTATTATTAATTCTTAAACTCAGATCAAAAATGTAGGCTAAATATACTATAAGACAGAAATAATTAACCAGATTTTAGTAAAATTGAAAACAGAAGAGTAGAAAAAACGGTCATTGATTGTGATTTTGTGCAACAGGTTATCTGTTGCCCTCATGACCAGTCAATAGTTGTTCAATGTCTCAATAGCAGAAATAGTCGTAAAATAAATGATTTTTGATCACAGGCTGAGACTCGCTGTTTGCAACTTACTCGGGAGAAGGCATCTCTTCACAGTCACTTGGAGGAATTAGAGGAAGAATTGACAGAAGTAATAAAAAAGTACAAAGCAACAGTAGAATCAGTAAGTAACTTGTTTTTCACTCTAAGAGTTAATTGTTTTAAATTCAGAAATTATGTTTATCAAATTATTTGATGTTTTTATGTAGTGTCAAAATATCTGAAGTATGTGCATCATAATTAGTAGTAACCTTTATCTCTAAATATGTTACAGTTTATCATTAGTAGTAACTTTTATCTCTAAATATGTTACAGTTTATCATTAGTAGTAAATTTTATCTCTAAATATGTTACAGTTTATCATTAGTAGTAACTTTTATCTCTAAATATGTTACAGTTTATCATTAGTAGTAACTTTTATCTCTAAATATGTTACAGTTTATCAAAATTCGATTATTGGGTATCGAACTGATTACAATAATATCTAACAAGAAGAGTTGGACTTTATATCATGATATTAATTGCAGCCTTTTCTTCTGAGAGGCAAGAGACTAATATCTTGATTGTTCCTCGGTGAAGTTCAGTAAAAAAATATGATATATAATAAACATTTCAGTGTTATTTATTTCATCAAATTTATCGTGCGATCTTCTCATTCGTAAAGTGTTGTATTTGTATTAATGTCGTCTTTTCAGCACAGAGCTACACAATAGACTATCTGCACTCTGTTCACCGAAGGTAATCGAACTTCGTATTTTAGTATTGTAGTCTGTAAACTTGTCGCTAATCTACCGAGGACGAAAATCATTGTAAATAAAAATACCAATAAATCGTGAATATCACAATAAACATTTAAAGCCGCGAATATTCAGCAATTTTTAAAGCTAAGTTAAATCAACTAAAAATGACTTCAGGTGAAATGTACACCGGTAAAGTTTCTCTAAGAATAAAAAGTGTGACTGGGGTGTGACATATAATTTATACTTCACCAAGTTAACCCACACTTCTGGTCTATTGTATCCTAGCCGACCTGAAGAATCATGGTAATTAGCAAAAGGCCTCGTCAGCACTTGGTATGGCAGATATAGTGAGTTTGGTGGACATATTATTATATCTTCTTTACTTGTACTCACAAAGTTTTATTGGTAATAGTTTGGTGGACATATTATTATATCTTCTTTACTTGTACTCACAAAGTTTTATTGGTAATTATCATCATATCTTG